ATCCAGTACTTCATCCTGCAAACGTACGGCCAGAGCCTGCAGAAGGGCATGCTGCAGCTGCTGCAGGACAAGGAGGCGTACGGCTGGCTCCTCAAGGAGCGCAGCGACACCAGCGACAAGCGCAAGTTCCTGAAGGAGCGGCTCTCGCGGCTGGCCCAGGCTCGGCGCCGCCTGGCCAAGTTCCCCGGTTAAGCCCGCGGCCGCCTGTCCCGCCCGCCTCTCCTGGGCGCGTCTGCGGGGAGCGGGACCCGCCCTGTCCCCTCCAACCCATTTCACAGATGCTCGAGGGATTAGTCGCCAGTCTTTCTAGTCGCCATCTGTGCTAGTCCCTCAAGGGCAGGGACCGAGTGCGGAGACTTCGGTCGGGATTAAGGAGAATGAGACTTAAGCCGGATGGACGCCTCCGCCTCCCTGGGTAGGAGAAACGATTTTCCACCTCGGGACTGTTCCTCCGGAGCCCTCTCCGCCTCCCCCCGGAGATCAGTGCATGTGAAACACCGTAGGCTTAGCTCCCGCTTAGTGCAGCTTCCATCATGCACCTGCCGTCTCTGGCGCGCTGGCGCCCCGCGTGGGTGTGCTGAGACGCTGTATTTCCCTGATTTGTAATAAACTCGTTTCTACCGGACATGGCTCTGAGCCCGTATTTTTTGGGACCGTCTAGGAATCTGCATACAAGAGGGGACGTCGGGAGAATGACGGGCATTCAGCGGGGTCCCTCCCAGCACTTGCCGGGGTCAGTTTCACTGGTGCCGAGCGGAGACGCTATAGCCATACGCGCAGGCGTTTGTAAGCAAAGGCAGGTGCGTGGTACGGGCCCCCCTACCCCAGTACGAGCCATGTGCCCCTTTAGCAGATTAGATGCAGGCTGGCTTCTCACCGGGGTGCTGGGTGCCCCCGGAGCAATCCCCGGCTGGGGCCGGCACCCCCGCAGGCCTGGCCTGGGTGACTTCTCCAGCACCAGGCGGCCCCGCCTCCCACAGGAAGATTCTGCCGGGACTGGGGACGGCCACAGGTGTCCGAGTTGCAAAGGGGTCTTCTTTGCTGTGGTTCCAGTCTTCCTGGAGGCTGAAGGAGAGGGCAGAGGAAGAAGGCTGAGTCTGTGCTCCAAGGAATGGGACTTGCCCGGGGAGCCCACCTGCTGGGGGCTGACAAGGTGCTTGCAATCACTTTCACTCGGCCCCAAGCAGCAGGTGTCCAGGGCTCCCCCAGGCTTGTCCTGAGCCACCACCCATAAGGGGGAGGGCAGGGTCCCTTCTCCCGTGTGTTCAGGCCTCGGGGAGAGAGCGCCCTGGGGTCTGCTTTGGGTGACTTGTTCGCTCAGGGGCAGCCAGGCTCTCACAAGGGGTTCAAGTGCCCCCCCCGCGCCCATCCACCATCCCTGCCCCCACCCATGAGGGACACCGCCAGGGTCAGAGCCCACGTCTCCAGGTTCCGCTGCCCACCCGATACCACCAGCAGGAAGGCCCATCTCTTTGTGAAGAATATGCTAGAATATCCATGATGCCCACTCGTGAAGACCTTGTGTTCAGTAAGTCTGGGCCCCGCTGAGCCCACAGGTTGGAACTGGGTCTGGGGCCCAGCAAGGGGAGGGGGGCACAGAGAACGGCACAGAGAGAACAGAGGAGAGCTTCGGTTTTCCAGAACGCAGGGTCTGACAGGCCGTAGGCGCTTCATAAATGCTGCGAGAGGGGGTGGGGCATGGGACACACTGGCCATTTGTTCACATGACTTTCTGGATCCGTGAGTGTCTTCTAAGATGCTTCAGAGCATCTGCTTGTTTGATTTTAAGTTTACTTATTTTGAGAGAGAAAGGGAGAGAGCGAGCACCCGCGTGTGGGCTCCTAAGCGGGGGAGGGATAGAGAGAGGAGAGAGGATCCCCAGCAGGCTCCCCGCTGTCGGCACAGAGCCCAGCGCAGGGCCCCAAACTCCAGAGCTGTGAGGTCGTTGTGGGATGTGGGAGGCCCCAGTCCTGGCCTCACGGAGTCGAAGAATGACCTCACGGACAACAGAGAGTGAGCAGAGCGACAGAGTTTATTGAGAGAAAGTATAAAGCTCTCAAGGGTCCCGACTGGGGAGCCACCGAGGATTTCTGTCCCTGACTTTTTACGGGGACCTCATCAGAAAGTCTGTGAGGCTCCAGCGGGCCTGGAATACCTTTATCCTTTGTTTTTCTTCCTTCTCCAACCCCCCGCTGCTGCCTGAGCCTCCCCGTTGTCTCTCCCTGCCTAATGTTGACGCTTCCCCACTCAAGATCACGACCCAGGCCGAAATCAAGAGTCAGACGCTTAACCAACCGAACTACCCTTCTCGGGGAAAGGCAGACAAAACCGTCCGGCACCCAGAGGATTCCCCCAAATGTCAGTTTTTGTTTCAGAGGAAAGGAATCCAGGGAGCAAACCTTCCACCAGGTAGCAGTGAACACGGCACATGGCACCCTTCCCATCAGACTTCTTTTTCTCCCGGGAAGAAAGGTCCAGGCGGTTCGCAGGGTTTCGGTGGGTTTTAAGTTCGGTCTCTGTAGTCAGAGCAAGCGTCTAACAAACAGCATTTATTGGGTTGGTTCGTAAAAAATGGAGCAGCTGGTACATTAGTGAATTTTTAAAAGTCACTTTATTCTAGCACTTTTCTTAAAACACTGCGTTTACTGGGAGAAGGGACTCTGGTGTGTTTCTCACCCCGCATCTCTTCCCTGGGTCCAGTGCGGCAAAGGACGGGGCCATGGGGTTTGACTCCAGCCAGGGGTGTGTGGGGCTCTTTACAAAGCCAGGCTCAACGGGGGGCCTTGATCAGAAGGGGAAGAGGCCCTGAAATCGGAGTTGAAGAACAGAGAGGAAGAGCTGGGACCAGACCCAGAGCTTGGGTTCAAGGCAGGACTGTCCCCCATTAACAACTCAGCCAGATGCAAATCGAGGTGGGTACATGTTTCTAAAATTTATTTTAATGTTCATTTATTTTTGAGAGAGAGAGTCAGAGCACGAGTCAGGAGCAGCAGAGAGAGAGGGAGACACAGAATCTGAAGCAGCTCCAGGCTCTGAGCTGTCAGCGTGGAGCCCGACACAGGGCTTGAACTCACAAACTGTGAGATCATGGCCTGAGCTGAAGTCAGATGCTTAACTGACTGAGCCACCCAGGCGCCCCTGGTGGGCCCACATTTCACTGCTGGAAACCCACCCACTGATCCAGCGGCAAGAAACAACACACATCGGCACAAATTATTCACTTTTATTAATACTTGTGTTTTCCCTTTAATTATGAGTATCTTGGGTTCCTTTACATCAAGCAAATTAACTTACGTCTTTTATAAAGGTTTTAACACAAAAATATCAGTATTTCCCCAGCTCCAGCATCCTGGCTGGATCTTTGAAGGCAACCAGCCTCACCCAAAAGTACAACAACCCACGAGGCAACCCTAGCATGAAAAACACAACTGAAGGTTGTCAACTGCCTTGCCCACGTGGGTTGATGGGCACGCGGTTCGCTGCTCTTTGCAGAGCCTTTATTCCTGAGTCTCCCTACTTGCTAACGTTTATTTCTAATCCCACAACGAGCTCTATAGCTATAGCGGACAGGTGTGTGGGGCGGCAAAAAAAGGGAGGTGCCCCGCGCACGAGCCTCGCCAAGCACCCACAAGGTGAAGCCCACCTTCTCGTTTCAGCTCTCACTGTGAACAGGGTGCTCTTGTGTTCTGGCTGGTGCCAGGTTTCCAGTATTTTTGTACTTTTTGCAGGGGACCTCGGGGTTTGACGCGGCCCCAGGTGGAATGGAGAAGTGTCTCCTCTGTGAAGTGCCTCACCGAGAAAACACGCGGCAGATAAGCAAGTTCAGGAGTGATGGTGCTGTCAGCACGGGCTCAGTGTTGGTGCATCAACTGTACATCCAATTAGGTGCCTTTTAGCAGAAACACCCACAAAACAAGGTCATGAATCGATTGGTTGGCCAGGACCGGAGGCTCGTGGACACCTGACCTTTACTGTCCCCTAGAAGCAGCGATTCACCCACCATTCACTAATTCAGTGTTCATGACGGATTTGTGGACCATAATTACCATGAGTGAGAACCCACTGTATTTAAGGGTATAGTCTAACAAAAATGTATGCTTAACCTGTTTTTATGGACTCTTTTCCATCATTTTAACATATCTTTCCATGAATTTTTCAAAGCTTATTTATTTTGAGGGAGAAAGTGTGAATTGCGGGGGGGGGGGGGGGGGGGGGAGGGGGGGGGGAGGAAGCAGGGAGAGAGAAGGAGAGAGAGAACCCCACGCAGCCTCAGCACTGCCAGCTCTGAGCTCGACTCGGGGCTCGACCTCACGAATCTTGAGATCATGACCTGAACCGCAATCAAGAATTGGAGGCTTAACCGACTGAGCCACCCAGGCGTCCCACGTACCTTTCCATCATTTCAACACATAATGAAGACCATCATCTGTCGCATATGCAGGATTTGGGGGATGCAAAGGGTCCCAGTGGATTTCTGTTCTCGGGCAGAGAAAAATCCCATCTAGTTTCTCTCCTGCCCACAGCCCCGGCTCCCTGGGACTGGCCCCCATGAGAGCCGAGACGGCGGCTCTGTCACCAAGAAACAACAGGGATTTGGGGAAGACACTTCAGGGACGAGATGCTGGGCGTTTGGGACCATTCAGGATGTGTGGATACTTAGTGGGCAGAAATCTGCAAGACACTTGGGTCTCGAGGTCTGAGTCAGGGAAAGTGGGAGCCACGGGTGACGGCCATGCAGGAGTTACCGCGGGTCACCTCGGACGGGACCGCATCTGCCAGCCCCCCGCCCCCCTGCGCCTCACCTCAGTCCTCAGCCCAGCCCCCTCGCCCCTGCCCTGCCTCGCAGCCGCCCCTCGAGGAGACGCACACTGGTTCTCACCATGCCCGTCCGCAGAGGCTCAATCAATATTTGGAAAAAAAAAAAAAAAAGTATAATTTATTTGTACAATATTTCACAATTGAATTTTACAGTTTAAAAAAGATACAAAACAGAGGACAAACAGTGGTCACATGAAAAGAAGCCAAGGAGGGAACGAGTTCTCGCCACGACGATGCTTTTTAAAATCTGGCTCGGGGAGTGGGCACCCCGGGGCGCGGCATCTCTGTAAGGCCCCTAGGGGTGGCCAGTGGGGCCTCCGCCGCCCCCCATTTCAAGGTTAAGCCCTAGCCCTTCGGAGTTAGGTCCTAAGTGGTAGAATGGATCGTTTCCTTCTTGGAAACCAGTGCCGGAGAGGAGGCAGCGCCCCTGGGAGTTGGCAATTCAACCCCGGCCCTTCCCTCCAGGGGAAGCCTGAGGGGCTGGAAGGGGCCGCGGGGAATCCAAAACACGCCTCTCTCTTCTCTGTTGGAGCGCAGGGCTGCCGTGAGCAGTACGGAACACTTTGGAAAGCGCTTCTGGTCGCCCGCCTGTCCCACTTGGCAAGGGCGTTAGTTTCAAAGAGCCAAATGTAGCAACTACGTAGAGACATCACAGCCAAGATTCCGTGAGCACTGAGGTAGTAACAGGTAGAAACTTTGCATGGAAACAGTGTCTCTTGAATCACACATCCCTGATTCCCCCCCACCCAGGTTGGGGGGGTGACCTCAATTTCCATGTGATCAGCAGGCCCCAGGAGGGTCAGCACGGCACCCCACTCGGCCGCATCCCACAATCTCCAGGGAAGAGGGTGCGGGAGTGAGGCTGGGTCTCCCCGGGGGCGCCCAGCCCAGTGGTGCCGGCCCAGCGGTGCGCAGGTAGGGGGTGGGTTTGCAATGACTTGCCTTGCCCCGACGGCTCTGTCTACACTCTCACCCTGTCGAGCAGGAGAGAAAGTTCTTGATGCCTTTAACATCCTGACCCAAGAAGGGCTGGTCCCTTTATTTCCAGCCACCATCCAGGGCTGCTAAGAAGGCACTAAAAATGATCAGCGAAGACCCCCGTGGGGAGACTGGCCCCGGGGTACCCTCCCTAGCAGTGACCACAAGGCTGGCCCTGAAGTTCCCACGCGGCTGTCTTCCCTTTCTATCTCAAGCCGTCCAGCAGCTGAGAAGTCACCAGCCCCAGGCACGTCCAAAAGCGGCCCCCCGGAGTGGGCTTAGAAGAAGACCCCACTGGGCAATGTCCATCTCTCTGCCCCGAATTGGCTCTGGGCGCCCACCCCCCACTGGGCCTGGGCACCCCTTTCAGACCAGGGGTCCGGGAGCACGGGCCTGTGGCCTGCACAGAACTGTGGAGAGTGCCAAAGACAGAAAAATACACTATTTAATAACAAAGAAAGGACCTTTGAATCATTTCTAAAAGTACATGACGCACAGGGAATTAAAAATCAGCCCCTTCGTTTTCTTGTGGAATGGCGTCAAAGACAGAGGGCACACGGATTAGCTGTTGGCCTGTTCAAAAAGGAAAAAAAAAAAAAAGAAACGACTTTATTTTCTCAAAACATGAAAATGTAGCAAATTAGTCTTGTCTCCTAGGTTGACCAATAACCCAAGCAGCAAGCTCAGTGAGTGGGGCCGAAGACTTTATTCCTACAGCGCGAAGGTCAAGGACTTGGGCCGACAAAGTCAGCAAGAGGCTCCGGGTGGACAGTGGCCTCACCTGGGAAGCTCAAGGTCGACCTCAGCCCCTGAAGTGCAAGTGCAAGTGCTTATTCAGTGCCGGCTTCCCACGGCGTCTGCCCTGCCCCCGGGCCCTGTCCCTCCGCGCCCTGGCCAGGCTGAGCCTCAGGCAGCCACACCACACCTCGCAGACTTCTGGGCTTTGGGACAAGAGTGAAAGACCCGGGGAGGAGGGGACAGGAAAGTTACCCTCATCTGTCGATAAATCCAGTCCGTAAACACTGTCACGTTTCCGTACACCCCTGGTCTGTTTGCCTTGGCACAGCCGGATCCCCAGCTCGTGTCCCCAATCAGCCACCAGATGTGGCTCTTCAGAGTGACCAGGGGGCCTCCGCTGTCTCCCTGGGGGACACAGCAAGAGCAGAAGCTTCAACCACATCCCGCACACGCAACTGGCCATGCCCGGAGGGATGGGGTCAGGGCGGAGGTTGGAGTGGGCGTCCCGGTGGCAGTTAGGGCCCAGTGTGCGGGTTTCGTGTCCCCCCCCCATGAGGGACAGAAATATAATCCCCCAAAGAGACAGTATCAGTGATGACTTTTAGTCTGCATCAGGTAGGAGTTAGTTACTAAGTAAATTGTTGGCCGGATTTTCATCCAGTTACAAAACTTATTCCGGTTCCACTCACAAGCCTGCAAAATGAAACCCTTGGGGGGTTGGGGGGGGAGCAGAGGCGCCATGTTGGTGGCCACGTGTGCACTTTTACATCGCCAGGGCCACGGCGGCTGGCCACGGCCACCCCGGAGCTGGCCCCGAGAGCCAGGGACAGGGACCCCATGTCGGTGGGGCCACGGGGACAGCCTGCAGTCACCTGGCAGGAGTCGATGGTCCCCTGCAGGTAGCCCGCGCAGATCATGGCCGGCGTGATCAGGTTGTTATAGACATACTTGCTGTTACAGCGCGACGGCTCGATGAGGGGCACCATGACGGCGTTCAGCTCGTCCGAGGTTTTCCCTGAGACAGAGGACACCATCAAGCTGCCAAGTGGCCGGCGGCTCCCGGGGATCGGTGGCCTCCCTCCTGGAGACGCGCTGCAGACGCGAGACCGATGGCCACGCCCCTCCCTGCCCTCCCCCTCCTCCCCCTCCTCCTCCTCCTCCTGGAGGCAGCTCTTCCCAATCAGGGAGGCCTTCCCGGACCTGGAGCTATGGAACACTGTGTTCTAGAATCATCCTCTCTCCCCACCCAGCGCCCTGCTTCTCCTCGCTGGAGGCTCCCATGTATCCACCTGGAACAACCCCACGGGGCCCCACCTGCGGTCCCACTTCTCGGCCCCCCTGCCTGTGAAACCTTCTCCAAAGCAGTGTAGACCCGTGTGCTGTCTACCTCTTCCCTCCCATCTCGCTGCCACCACACGAGTGTCTTCCAGGAGCTGCGGGCTTCACGTGCCGAAACAGAGCCCCTCACCGCACCCCTCCTCCCCCAGTCCTCACCGCCCCGTCCCCCCCTCCAGCCCCCCGCTCGGGGGCTCAGGTCCTGAAGCAAGAAGATGCTGTCCCTGGATCTCTCACGGCGCCCCCTGCTGGCGTTCACTCCATCTGCAAGGTGGTGGCGGCTCTGACATGCTTGATGTCCCCACCTCCAGGCCCAGCACCCACAGCCGAGCCGCCAACCCGTCACAGAGATGATTCCCTGACACTTGGGTTCAGCCCCCTCCTGCCTGCATCCTTTCTGTGTCTCCCCCAAAGGCCGCCAGCTCACATCATTCTCCTTCGAACCTCCCGATGGCTCCCTGTCTCACGCAGGATACAAGCCAGCATCCGCCCCCCAAAGCCTGTGAGCCTACAGCCTCACCCCTGGCTCGACACTCCCCAGCCACACTGACCCTTCTGTTCCTTAAACAGCCTTGTCATTCGGATCTCAAATGTCACCTCTTACAAGAAGCCTTCCCTGACTACCCCTTCAAAGCAGCCAGGCCCCTGCTGTCACAACTTTCTGGTGTTTGAAAGCACCGACTTCAGTTCTCTGTTTCCTGGTTGATCATGTCCCCCCAGCCCCCACATCCACGAGGAAATGCGACATTCCTGAGGACAGATGTTTCTCGTCTTATTTTGTGCAGTGACGCATTTCCAGCCCATAGGAGGCGCGCCGCAAGCACGTGTTGATTTCCCCACTTGCTTTGGCTGCCCTGAAACTGTAAGGCTCAACTGCGGGAACTTTCTTTAGACCAGATGCCTGGACGTCCGGCAAGGCCGCCGTCGCCCTGATCCGCCCCCCACGTCACCCAGCTGCCCTTGAACTTTTCACCTTGTTCTAAAGGGTTTGTCATGTGCTGCCTTAAACTCTTTTCAGAAGGACGCAGACGGTGCGTAAGGCTTCTTTGCGCCACTAAGCACTTCTCACACTTCGTCAAAGTGAAACCGCTAAGCTTCCCTCATCTGAGAAGTATCCTCGGAGGTGAAAGTAGATCACACAAAGCCCAGCTGAGCGGGTCTGCACCAGGACAGTGCAGTGTCCCCCCGCCCCCCCCCTCCGGGGTGTCAGGGCAGAAGGGCGCAGGTCCAGCAGCCCGTGGCTGGCCGTCACGGGTCACGCAAGCCCATCCTCACCGAGCCCGCTGTCACTCAGCCCTTGGAGGGCACGGCCGGTTCCCGGGACAAGCAGTTAGCTACACTGGGATGAGACCACACAGCTTGTACACCTGTCACGCTGCTGTGGCCTTTACACTTCAAAAAGCAGTGTCCACACACGATAAGGACACTGTGCCAGGTAGGGCAGGTGCAGTTCTTGTCCCATTTAGCAGATGGGGAAACCGAGGCACGGAGACGGAGCAAACTGCCCCGAGTGATCTAATCGTGTGGGATTAACCCCCACCCCCCAGACCTCCCACTTCCAAGCCCAGTGCTGGGTCTGTGGGACCTGCATGCCCAGGAGCCCCTCACCTTTCTCGTGGGTGGCCCCCCACCCGGAAATCCAACACGGCTGCTCCGGCTCGAGCATCATGCCTGGGTTGGGCAGACACACCGCTTTCACCTTGTCTGTTCCAAGAAGAGAAAACAGTGTGAGCCCGTCTGGTCTAACTGAAGGCTTTCAGGGACCGTCTCCCCCTGGACCGGCCCCATCTGTACGCTGCAGGGGCCGCTACCGCCACCAAGGAAGATTCCAGACTCTGCCGTGTCCTGGCCCTCCCACGTTCTGGCCCTGTCGGGCCCCTCCTGCTCACAGGCAAGGTGCTCCCCTCTCTGGAAGTCACGCTGCTTAGACATAGAATTGTTGGCGAGCTCTGCTTCTAAAACTTCATGATGAAACCTTCAAGAAACAGAACTACGAAGCTTTGTTCAAACTGAAATCTTCAAGGAACAGAAATGTAAAAACGTAGACTGTCTGCAGGTGACGGAGGCAGACACACGTGTGGTACGAGAGGCTGGCGGACGCTCCCGGCCTGTGCCCGGGGGCCTGCTGGAACCCGCCCCACGGACCGGTTCTTTTAGGTCCAAATTGTGTCCCACCTTGAATGCAAACACCTTGACCCAGGGGATAAGGCTCTGCTCTGTCTCTACCCATGTGGGCTGGAACATTCCGGACGGACCCTTGGATGGACTAGAATGAGGGGCGAAGCTAGGGGAACCCACGTTTGTTTTCCATTGTTGGAAACTCAAGTTTCTTATTTGCAGGATTTATGTGAAAAAGTAGAGTCCTGACAAATTTTAGAGGCGATTTCACCCCTGGGGGAGGTCTCTCGGCATCTGGACACACCCGTGTCACAAATGAAGGGCGCTGATGGCATCTAGTGGGTGGAGGCCGGGCCAGGATGCCCGAGAAGCCGACCGACCCCGACCATCAGCAACGCTGCGGTTGGAAAGCCAGTCCCGACGTCCATGTGTGTTGATTTAATCCTGACTCTGGCCATGGAGACAAAGCTGCTTACGCCCACCCACCCCCCCCATGAGGGGGGCACGACTGTGGGGGCATGGCCCCCACACCCAATGCAAGCCCCTCCCTCTGGCTCCGTCCTTCCGAAGATGTGGTCAAAGTCGTCCGCGCCCCGAGCCCCACGGCCACGGCCACGGCCACACACCGTTGAAAGTCAGAGGCGTCTGCAGCTTCATGAGAGCGATGTCGTTGTTCTTGGTCTTGGAGTCATAGTGTGGGTGGGAAATCACCTTGTCCACTCGGCGCCCGAGCCCGTAGAACATGAAAGCCTGTCTCAAAATCCCCGCGAAGACCGTCCAGTGCCGCGGGTTGTTCAGCGGTCTGCAAGATCAAGCCGAAGACAGCATGAACGTGACATGCTCCTTCGGGGACAGTCAGGAGTCACAGGCCGAGGCGGACGACCCAGAGGGGACGAGGCGAGGCGCGGATGTCTTGGGCTCTGGTCCCTCCGTGCCTCCGTGCCGTGCCGTGGCCCCCCCCACCCCCCCACCTCGCCAATGAGTCCCATTCCCCCTGGGCTTCTCTCTCCCTCTCTTTTAAATGTTTTTATTTATTTTGAGAGAGAGAGAGAGGGAGCGAGCGGGGGTGGGGGGCGGCAGCAGAGAGAGAATCCCAAGCAAGTTCTGCACTGTCAGTGCAGAGCCCGATGTGGGGCTCGAACTCACAGACCGTGAGATCGTAACCTGAGCCGAAACCAAGAGCGGGACATCTAACTGGCGCCCCCTTTCAGTACTTCTGCACCAGCCTGTAAACCCTCAGGAAATTCAAGAGCGCTTTTTCTTGGCCTGAACGCCTCCCAAAGTGTCAAACCTCATTTCTCGCAGGACCGGGTCTTACTTACTTATTCATGCCTGAGGGCATCTCCTGACATTCAATATGTGCTTAATAAGTGCATACGGATGACTAGATTGCAGATCTAGTAGCCATTAGGGCATTAGCTTTATCTAAATGTTTCCCTTTTAGGAGAATCCCAGACCCCAGGAGCTATCAGAAGCCGGTGGAAGGAAGGAAGGAAGGAAGGAAGGAAGAAGAAGGGAGGGAGGAAGGGAAGGAGGGAGGAAGGAAGGGAGCACCACTCATAAATACCGCTCCTTCTACCCCCCCGACGGCCTTTGGGAGGAGCGGGTGCACCTGTCCTAAGGTGCACAGGGGGCGCGCTGCGGGCAGGCCCCTGGCGCCAGCGGTCCGAGGCCACGCGGCCAGGGAGGGCAGGGCCAGGTGCAAGGCCACGCTAAGCCGGAGAGGCAGTTGTGCCGAGGGGCGTTTCCTCCAGAGCTTCTGGAAGGGGTCCCGCTCTCAGCCGGCGCCCAGCTGGCTGCTGAGGGCTGCACTGGGCTTCCCGCTTCCCCTGCTCCGGCCCGTGGGACCCCACGGAACGCCGCCCTGCGGGTCGCCCGGCCCCAGAGCCACCTCCAAACCCGCGCCCCCGAGCCCCCCCCCCCCCGGACTCACTCCTCCACGCAGTGGGCGGCTGTCACGATCCACTCCGGGGTGATGATGGAGCCGCCGCAGACGTGGACGCCCTGGACGTGCAGACTGACCTGCCACGGCCAGTCCCCGGGGGCGGCGCCCGCCCCGCCCACGATGCGGCTCTGGCGGCGCGTCCTGGCGCTGACCCCGCACTCTGAAAGCCACCAGCGGGCGCGGGTGAGCGCGGGTGGGCTGCCCCTGATGCCCCCGCGGGGTGGGCCCGGCCCCTCCACCCGGAGTCCGCCAGGCTGGGGACCACCCCGTTCATCTGGGGCCTGAATCCGAGACAGTGCACCCTGGTCTGTTTCCGGGGGGCAGGACGCCCCCCAGCCCCCAGCCCCCTCGGGGTGGGGGGACGATGCTCAGGGGCCCCAAGATTCCTGAACATTGCGGGAAGGAGGGAGGAGGGAGGAGGGGGAGGAAAAAGAGGGAGGGATGAGGGGAAGGGAGGAGGGAAAGGGGGGAAGAGGGAGGAGGGGGGATAGGGAGGGAAGAGGGAGAAGGACGAGGAAAAGGGAGGAGGAAGGAGAGGGAAGAAGGGAGGAGGGGGAGGGGAAGGGAGGAGGGGGAGGGG